AGGGCTACCCCACAGGCAGTGTGCCCAGAGTAGCAGCTCAGAGGCAGTGCTGCAGTCATATTTATAACCACTTTTAGTTATATATAAACTAACGGGTAGATTATGCAGAAATTTCTAGGAAATGGGTGGTAACTTCTGGGTCATCAGGTCATTGCCATGGAAAGCGGCAATAAATTCTAGGTGTGGCCATTCTAGGGAATGGTAAACTGACATGGCACCATGGTGGACATGTCTTATGGAAAGCTGCTTCTGCCCCATCCCTGTTTTAGCTAATCCTCAATTTGGTCTGGTGTCTGAACCCTGCCTCTGGAGTTGTGTCCCGCCTCCTATCTCATCTCCATGAGTTCAATTGTTTTTATTTTTAGCTTCCACAAATGAGTGAGAACACGTGAAGTTTGTCTTTCTGTGCCCCACTTATTTCACTTAATATAATGCTCTCCACTTCCATCCATGTTGTTGCAAATGACAGGATATCATCATTTGTTTTTATGGCTGAATAGTACTCCATTGTATGTATGTACAACATTTTCTTTATCCATTTGTTTGTTGATCAACACTTACGTTGCTTCCAAATCTTAGCTACCGTAAACAGTGCTGCAAGAAACATGGGATTCAGATATCTCTTTCATATACTGATTTCCTTTCTTTTGGGTATATACCTAGCAGTGGGACTGCTGGATCATATGGGAGTTCGAGTTTTAGCTTTTGAGGAACTGCCATACAGTTCTCCATAGTGGCTATACTAACTACATTTCCAGCAAGAGTGTATGAGGCTGCCCTTTTTCCCCATCCTCATCAGTATTTGCTATTGCTTGTCTTTTGGATAGAAACCATTTTAACTGGGGTGAGATGATATTTCATAGTAGTTTTGATTTGCATTCCTCTGACAATTCTCTGACAATAAATGATGTTGAGCATTTTATCACATGCCTGTTTGCCATTTGTATGTCTTAAGAAATGTCTACTCAGATTTTTTAGCCCTTTTTTTTTTTTGAGACGGAGTCTCGCTCTGTCGCCCAGGCTGGAGTGTAGTGGTGCGATCTCGGCTCACTGCAAGCTCCGCCTCCTGGGTTCACGCCATTCTCCTGCCTCAGCCTCCCAAGTAGCTGGGACTACAGGCGCCCGCTGCCACACCCAGCAAATTTTTTTTGTATTTTTAGTAGAGATGGGGTTTCACCGTGTTAGTCAGCACGGTCTCGATCTCCTGACCTCGTGATCCGCCCGCCTTGGCCTCCCGAAGTGCTGGGATTACAGGCATGAGCCACTGTGCCTGGCCATTGGCCCATTTTTAATTGAATTATTAATTTTTTTCCTATTTAGTTGTTTGAGCTCCTTGTACATTGTTTATTAATCCCTTCTACAAGTCTTTACTGAATGTCAGCACTACTAAATGTTAAGAGGTGGCATGACAGAGAAGAAAGAAAACTTGATTTGGAATAGTTAACACTGGGTTAAAGTCTTGGCTTTCCCACTTCATAGCTGTGTGACTTGGGCATTTAATCTGCAGCTTCTTTACCTCTGTGCTAGAATCATAATTGCTTTGGCTACTTCAAAGGGTTGACGAGAGAATAAAATATAGATGTAAGTGTGCTTTCTTATCCTGTTAAACATTATGAAAATTGTATGTTACCATTAGAGAAGCAAGATAAAAAATTTTGGTTTCTAGCTTATGATCTAGTTACGGAAAAAATCTGTACAAGAAATATTCAAAGAGCAAAACTATTTAGCAAAGTGTTGGAGAGTCCTGTAGTCTAGGTTTCCTAATGCCATGTGGCAAATGTTCATTGTGTGGTACAGACCAAGCATAAAAGTGAGAAAAGCAGTCATCAGGAAAAACTTCACAGGAGAGAAGAATGTGAGCTGGAAGTAATGAGACAGAAAGGAACCAGAAGAACATTCCAGAATGTGAGAGATTCATGAGCCAATACATAGAGACGGTGTGAAGTAAATCTGTGTGGTTTCTCTGCTTTCAGAAAACTCTCTCATATTTCAGACCCACTGAAAAATTCTCTCCTACAAACCACAACAGGGAACAATATAGTAATTTTTTTTTCCAGTAGAAAAAGGTACATACCTCTTGACACAGCAATTCCACTTTTAGGAACTTAGACTACAGATGGATGTGAGTGTGTGTATATACACATATGTGAAATAATTTATACAGATGATTACTGCAGTCCAGTTTGTATATGTGAGAAAACTATAATTTATAATTGAGAAATAATAATTTAAGATGCCATCAATAGGTGATTGGCTAGGAAATTGTGTTACACACACAATCAAATATTTTACAGATTTTATAAAACATAAAATATATAAAGGTATTGGCCAGGCATAGTGGCTCATGCCTGTAATTCCAGCACTTTGGGAGGCCGAGGTGGGTGGATCATGAGGTCAGGAGTTCAAGACCAGTCTGGCTAACATGGTGAAACCCCACCTCTACTAAAAATACAAAAAATTAGCTGGGCGTGGTGGCACATGCCTGTACCATTCATCCCAAAGAAGGAATCAACTCTGCTGATGAGCAGATCCAATACTTGAAAGACAAAACTCTACGAATATTCTTGGTTTTGACCTTTAATCTCAGCTACTCGGGAGGCTGAGGCAGGAGAATCGCTTGAGCCCGGAAGGTGGAGGTTGCAGTGAGCCAAGATCGCGCCATTGCACTCCAGCCTGGGCGACAGTGCGAGACTCTGTCTCAAACTACGTGTGTGTGTATATATATACACATATATGTATATATATACACATACACATATATGTATATATGTATATAAATATATTAGCTACATATGCACAGATAGGAAATAATTATCTCAATTTATTAAATAAAAAAGGCAAAGTCTAGAAGTATGCTATATTTATGTAAAAAGAAAATAAAAGAGTCCATACAGAGTGCTTGTCAACGCATAGACAACAGTACAAAGGTAGTCACTAGTCACAGATGAGGATAGAGGAATGAGAGGGAGACATACTTTTCGCTGTATATACTTTTGAATTCCATATCATACTCAAGTATTACCTATCCAAAAATTACTTTAAATGTATTAACTGGTGACCCAATGCTTTCACAGACTCCAGATAAATTTGCACACTGACTTCAGTTTAGGAGGCCCCAATCAATAACGTTCTCTGAATATCCTTTAGCTGAAATTGCTTCAGGTAGATAATGCAAAATACAGCTGCCCAGCATAGAGTTCAGTCCAGTTGTCTGCAGATTTTACTGAGTGGCTGGGTCCTGTTATTGACCATATTGTGTTCCCCAAAAGTTCATTTATTGAAAGCCAAACACATACATGAAGACAGGGCCTCTAAGGAGGCAATCAAGATTAAATAAGGTCATAAGGGTGAGGCCCTAATCCAAAAGGACTGGTGGCCTTCTAAGAAGAGGAAGATACATCAGGAGTGCCACACACAGAGGCAGGGCCACGTGAGGCCACAGTGGGAAAGTGGTCATCTACAAGCGAGGAACAGGAAGCCAACTCTGCTGGAAACTTGATCTTGGATCTCCAGCCTCTAAAGCTGTGAGAAAATAAGTGTCTGTTGTTTAGGCTACCCAGACTGTGGCATTTTGTCATGGCAGCCTGAGAAGATTAATACCTTTACCATCAAGGACTCTGATGGAGAAGCACAGTCCTCCAGCCAGAGATAAGCTGAGCTAAAGTGGGAGCTATGCTGCTTGGCCTGCAGAGGAGTACCGCTGTAACACAAGAACATGCCACTAATTCAAACTACAGAGTAGGTATAAGGAGTCCAGGGTCCTAGTTCCTGCAAAGCCATTCCTGACTGTGTGACCTGAACCATCACGTGAACTCTGCAGGATCTGTCTCAAATCCTTTCAGCTTCCTTACTTCCTTCCAGCTCATTGGTTCTAGGATTTATATCATGCAAACAGCAAAATATGCCACTACCAAGAGTCAAGTTAGCTTCCAAAAATAGTGCAGCTTCATATTTGGGAAAGAAAAATAGCAGCCTGTAACCTAGGAGTTCCCAATCAGTGAGACTAAATCTACTTTAGCTGTCAAAGCCTCACAAAGCAGGCTGCTGCCGCTGCCGCTGCTGACACAGAATCTTCCTCACACTCTGAGTTTTGCTGGGATTCTCATGGTAGGGAAGGTGGAACATGGTCTCCTCTGAGAATTTATCACTCCGAAAATCCACCTTTTAGAAACCCTGGCACTCCACAAAAGCAGTGAAGAGGTATCCCATCTCACAAACAGACAAAACTATGACAATTCCTGTTGTCATTAAAGGGAGAGAGGTGACGTTAAGCCAAAAAACTAAAACACTCATTTCTCAAGTGTCACTCATCCCAAAGAAGAAATCAACTCTGCTGATGAGCAGATCCAACACTTGAAAGAGAAAGCCCTATGAATATTCTTGTTTTTGACCCTTAGTATCACATCATAATGAAATAGCAATATGTAGAAGCCTAGCTGAAGCACTGATGCATTTCTTTTTCAGTCAAAGGTTTGAAGTCTTATCCTCAAGGGTTTACATGATGTAGCAACATCTAGGAACAGATATCCTACAGTTTAGGCATGCAGTTATTTCTTTAATGACAATGAAGTTAGGGCTGTTTGTTACAAAAAGTTGGGGCACATGGTTTCAAAAGAAAATATGAGCCAGAATTGTAGGTGACTATTTCAGATAACTGAACTTGTACTTTAGAAGAACGCATTTCCAGGCTAGGTGTGGTGGCTCACGTCTGTAATCACTTTGCACTTTGGGAGGCCAAGGCGGGTGGATGACCTGAGGTCAGGAGTTCGAGACCAGCCTGGCCAATTTGGTGAAACCCCGTCTCCACTAAAAATACAAAAATTAGCCGGTTGTGGTGGCATATACCTGTAATCCCAGTTACTCAGGAGGCCGAGGCAGGAGCGTCTCTTGAAACTGGGAGGCAGAGGTTGCAGTGAGCCGAGATTGTACCACTGCACTCCAGCCTGGGTAACAGAGTGAGACTCGGTTAAAAAAAAAAAAAAAAAAAAAAAAGAGGAAGAAGAAAGAAGAAAGAAGAAGAAGAAAACATTTCCATCATATTTGTTTCTAGCAAAGCTAAAGAAAGAACTTTATCAGTTCAAGAGCTACAACAGACTTGAAAATCAGTTTTGGAAAGCAGGCCACCCTCTGAATTCAAGGAATCAGTACAGAGAAGACAGTTTTGAATGCACAGCAAAATCTTATATGCAGAAGTATTTTAAAAACAAGATGGCAATGTATCTAGGCACAAATTTCATAAATATATTCTAGATTCTCTGGGTTGGTATGCATAAGGAGAATTCCTCAGTAAAGTTTTTAATCTTGGAATCTACAACTCTGAATGGAAGAGTGGTTTCCCCCTGAGTCATTATTACATACTGTAGGTATACAAAGAAATATTAGTTTTCCGACAAGTATATTCAGTTTTGAGCAACACCCAACTGCCATGCTGGTAGCAGGCTAATAACGCCTTTGGAATATTAAAAGTAAATGCAATGACATTTTATGTCGAAATCAAGGAATGTTGAGAAGTATATAAACTTCAAGATGAACATAACTGCCTACATTGATTTAGAACTTTTGACTTTGTTCTTGGCACATACTTAGGTCAAAGCAGAGGTAATGGGATTTGTTATGAATGTGTCTCCTCACATGACAAATATGTTGCTGCCTAAAATGTTGTATTTCAATGTGGATTTTGTTGGGAGCGAGGGCACATAAATGTTAACTGTCTTGACAGGCATCCTCATTTGGAAGGTTTTTCAACTTGCTAACATCACAAATGGTACCAAATATAAATAAGTATGACAGTATAAAGCCTTTTCAGCTGAGTTTTATAAGTCCTATGTCAAAATAATTACTAATAGAATGGCTCATTTAGAGCTAATTTATCTGTGGTCTTTGAAAACTGCTACAGAGAAAAAGAATTACACAAATCAGCTTAATTTTACTTATAATCAAATAATGTTGAATAGATGTGGTCTCGAGATGCACAGATTCAACACATTAAGATATAAATCAGATATTTCCCACATGTGTACTTGATCAGGTTTATAGAAAACTTTCAAAAGATTATCTTCTCATTTATGCCTATTGTTGTAAAAATGCAATAAATCTTTAAATATCTAACTGGAAATGTAGTACCTCATAATAAATTGAATTTTGTGTTATTCCATCAAAACCTCTCTCTTTCCCTCTTTTCTCTGGATATTGTTTTATGTATACCTCTCTCCTTCATCATTGTCAATCTGCTTAAATTTCCCCATTTTCCCTACTCTTGTACTCTCCCTCCCTCTTCATTTGTCTTCTCTACCCCTTTCTCTCCTGTTTGTTCAGCTTTAGTCATTACTGAAAAAAGATTTGTGTTTTCTATTTTTAATTATAAAAGAAGATGAAATAAATTAAGGATTAAAAATAAAACCGAATTGAATGATAGGTGGTCTTGGTCTTCTTTTTACAACCTTTCATAAATTCTTTTTCTGCTCTTGACAGAATATACTTTCCTGCCTCTGGTTTAAAACCATGTCCAAAACCATGTGCTTACATCTAATACAAACCACGCTATTTGCATTAGATGTGAGCACAAAGAGTAAGTACGTTTAATGGAGGAAATAAATGGAAAAGGAGCTATAGGGATTACATACTATAGAGTATTCTCTTTTTATTGAGAAAGCCTCTTGAAAAATCAGGATGTTTTAAAAGCATAGTTCAAAATTTAAAAAATGATATCAATTTAAATCTATTCAGATTTTGTTAAGTAACTTGTATATGCTTATTAGTAAAAATTATTTTAAGCAGTTTACAAGAAAAGCTCATATACTTTTTCTTTAAATTCGCTCACTTTAACTTTTACTTTCATATTAGTAAATAACATTTGTGGGGTGATGGGTTTGATGTGATTAATATGTATGTATATATGTATATCTATCTATGTATATTTATAATATTGGTCCACATATCACCTGAAATCATTTCATGGTATGAGTTCTGAATTTAGGTTAGGGAAATAAAATATCTCAGTTCTGCTTAGAGAAATCAAATAATTTCATTACAGATTATTATATAGTCAAAGCAGCATTAATTAAAGAGTTATAATTTTGAGTATTAGAAATAATTTTTACCAGGGTTTTCCTAGATTTTTTTTATTTGCAAAGTAGTATGTTACACAGCCTTTATTGTACTTGATTAAACTCACACCAGGACAGGTTATCTGGCTCCTACCAGAGTTCTATCAACAGCCTCTCATTCTAAGAACAGACCTATGATGTCAGCCCTTAATCCATCTGCCTCCCCACCTTCTTCCTCTCCTCACTATCTTAAGCTTTGCCACACTGAACGATTAAGAGCTTGGGTCAAAATGATGCAGTTATATAAACACTCACTATTTCTGTCTTATGGAAATACTTCCCCTGTGAGTTGCTCAATATGCTTCTCAGCTAAGAGAATACACCTCCTTTCTGGTCTTGCCTTAAAAATCATACCATCTGGCCTAATACCACTGACGAATTGCTAAACCTTTTAAGAAGGACTGTTGCATACACCAAGAGACATGACTATGACTATGATTTGAATAGGGCCTGCAGCTTATAACCAAGCCGGATATAATGCAGAAGTGACAAACTGCAGGGGGAAGCCTGGGCAAAATGACCTGTGTTCTTGTTCTAGGTTCAGCTCTGCCAACCTGGGTAGCACACATTCCTTTGCTGAGCCATTGTTTTCCCAATAATGAAGTCAGCTTTAATTATCTCTAAGGTCTCTTCTAGTTCCGTGACATTTAAGCTTTTCAAGGAGAGCTCTCTATATTCCAAAAGTTAAGAACATTACCTGAAGTATTCACCACTGTACAGCTAGTGCCTGTAGCACTGCCTGACACATAGCAAATGCTTAAAATACATTTGCTGAAAGCATTAACAAAGAGGTAGGCTTGCCACCACTACTGTAAAGTGATTGTAATTAATTTACAGACTCAGCTTCTCTTTCTGCCTGATAAAGATATTTCTTGAGTCAACAAAAAACTACTTATTACTTATTGGGTCAAGTAGGAGAGGTAAAAATAATGAATAAAGACTGAATTTTGAGAGGAAAGGGCCATGGGAATATTTTTAGGGAACAAATACATGATACAAAACAGTACTACAATGGGTGCTTGCTTTGCTTTCAGGATTAATTTACATTGTAGAAAAGTACATGTACTCTCTTAGGATACACAGGAGACCGACCTAGGCAGTGCTTCTCTACCCCAACACATACTGATATTGGACTGAACTACAACCCTTGCACACAACTTCAGACTGTTTGCCAAAGTCCATTGAGTGGACTGATGGCATCAAGAATGAGAAAATAAGAGAATGAAGACAAATGGCTTCTACTTTCTTGCTCTCTTACGTTTCCCACTGCCTTTCTCCACTTTGGTAACATTTCCCACATTCCAATCCTCAACATTCATTCAATCCCTAGCACGTACACAGACACACACGCACACATACACACACACACACACACACGCGCACACACACACGTGCTCACAACACACATACACGCACACATACACACGTGCTCACACTCTGTTCTCCCCCCACAATCCCTGAAATCCAAGGGAATGGGAGGAAGGTCATACATGTATGTGCTGATCATGTGGGAGAAAGAGAAGAGCTGCAAAACTGATTTTTTTTTTCTCTACCAGAAAGGAGAATCCCGGTGAAGACCAAAGATGATGGAAGCTAAGAATTTTATCCCCATTTTTGTCCAGCACTCTACATTCTCTTCTCCTGACAGATTTCCTCCCTCTCATCTTCCTTGAGTGAGTCTTTGACTTAGACCATCCGAATAGTATCAGCAGCGAAGATTTCAGAATGGCTTGCAGTTAGGAGAAGCCCACCTGCATCAGGAGAGGAAGGACAATTCTTCAAGTGAGTGGAAGGATTGGGGTTAGGAAGTTGTATACTGGAAACCAAATCAGATTCTGAATTCAGTCTACTAAAAAAATTATACCTGCTACAGAGGTTCTATACTGGTTTCAGTTCACTCATTCAAGAGCATTCAATGAACTTCTATTGAGCATTTACACGGTGCCATGCTAGGCTCTGTGGCTACAACGGCAAACAAACAAACAAAAAAATACATGATCCCTACTTTCATGGGGGCTTAAACTTTAGTGGGAAGAACAAATGTTAGCAAAAAAAATCTCCACCAATAAATGTACAATTACAAACCGAGACAACTAACAAGAAGGAAAGCAATGAGATTCCCTGGCAATGTTCTACAAAGGAGCTTGATGTAAGGTTAGGAGTCAAGAAAGGCTCTGGGGAGAAATTGACACCAAATCTGAGCTCAGAAGAATGAGTAGGAGATTTCTCAGCAGAGATAGGGGGTGGGAAGCAGAAGAGAAAAGAAGAGGCAGGAAATTATAACCTCTTGAACTCTAAAGTCTATAATTTTCCACATTATCTTATTTAGATGTTGCTAACAGAATTATGTCTGAAAATGTTCTAGAAATGTAGTTGTTGGTGAGAACACTCCCTTAAGAGGCTATAGACCCAGGTGAGTATGGAGACAGGATTCTGACCAATGACCCTTGTGTCATCAATTCTATATCTTATAATAATCCTTTACATATTTTGTAACTAAAAAATCATCCCCACTAGGTTATTTTTATAAGAAGTTGTCTTTGAGACATATGGACTTCAAGGTTAGTGCCATCATAATTTAACCATTAATCCTGGTTGTCACTAGAAATTGCTTTCAACTAGGAAGTTAACAGTTAACAAATATCTACTCTCTACTCATCTCCGTCCAGGCCAGAAAGAACTGACAGATCAGTAACTACAATGGATTATTTCCTTTTTTATTAAAAAAAGAGAAGTTCAATAAAGAGATTTCTTGTTTCAAGAAACAGCATGGGCAAAGACTCCATGCCAAGAAACAGCATGGCATGTTCAGAGAGTGTTAGGAAGAAGTGGGGAGATTAGGAGGTAAAACGACAGGGCTTGGCAGGAGACAGGATATGAGGGATGAGGAATGAGGGAGGGGTTGGTGTCAAGTATGACCCCATGATTTCTGACTTGCCCACTGGGACAGATGGGAGAGGAGCCGTTCTTCAAGTTGGGGAGCAGAGAAGAAATCCGCATTTGGAGTAGAAGATATATTTTGGATATGCTAAGTCTGGAGTGACTTTGAGAAATCTAAGTAGAGATACTGAGTGGATGAATCTGTAGAGAAGTTCAGGAGGGGAGATAAAAATTTGAAGCGATCACTTGATGCATGGATGTGGATGAGGTTGAACAGGCAAATGGAATAAAGAGAAACGAGAAGATGGCTTAAGATCAAGTATTGAAGAATTCCATATTCAGTGCTAAGCAGAGGAGAAGGAGCCTACAGATGAGTCAGAAAAGATACACCCAAGAGACAGGAGGCAAAACCAGGATGCTACAATTAGGCCTGCTGAGAGAGAAAGCATTGTGTTCAGGGACTAGAATTGTAGGATAAGTAGGCTTCCTTAAGGTGGTATGAGAGTCTACACACTACCAAGTACTTAGAATATTTTGCCTGAATTGCAGTTAAAACCTATGAGAAATGTGGCTACAACAAAGTGAGTGTTAACCAACCCATCTTTCAAAGAGATTTTTGGAATACAGTCTATTTGTAATTTGAGTATATCATGTACTATGACAGAGGAACACATTTTACTTTAGTTAGACATGAAATATTTTGAAAGAAGGGAACTATTTTATTTTCTAATACCACTTTAATCTTGGAATGTGCTATAATTTGAATTTCTATTTTTAAAAGCTAGAATGAAGAGTAGGAAGGAAATTTTATATATATACACACATATATACATATATGTGTATATATGCACACTATATATATATACACACACACACACACACACACACTTCTCCATTTCTTGTGCATTTTTCTTTTGTCTTTGACCACTTTAGCTGTCAGTTCTGTAATCTCCTATAAACTAATTGAACTCTTCCTTCTGTGTGACAGCAGTAAGAATTGATCAACAAGATCCCTGGGAAAGTGACATCTGGCAACAAGGAACAATGGAAGGGAATACAGCTAATGCCATAGACAAAGGTCAAGTTCCTTTAAATTTAATCCTCTCAGTAAGACATGGTTGAACTGGACACGGCTGATTAAGCAATAGATGCTTGTTTTGTTTGACATTAGGAAATCTGAGGTTGTGGCACTGCCAAAATCCTTATCTATTTCAAAGGGACAAGGAGGTGCACTGATAAAGAAGGGCCTTTGAATTTCCATCTGTGACGTTCATTCATACCTAACAGTCTGCTTAAATAGCATGTTCTCCCTCAATGTTAAGAACTGTTTTGGATGTTAACAGATCTCTTTTTATCTAATTGCAGTTCTCTTAAATCCATATATTTAAAAGTTTCAGAATTGTATTTGAGAGTATCAAACGTGGTGAACAAACCAAATTTAGATATTTCCTTCTTTAAAGCAAAATGTATATATAGTTGCATTTATACTGAATTGATAAAATAGTGTTGGTCTACAATATAGATATCGGTAAGAAAACTACACATCTGGAAAAGTTAATCCCTAATGAGAAAAAAAGTTATCTGTACTAGGCTAGCTCCTAAAAGGCATTTCAAAAATTTGTCTTTGCTTCTTTTGCATTTTATTATTTTTTGGTTTTCAATATAAAATATTGATTTCCAAAGGTTAGAAAGGAATCGAGACACTAATAAATCCCTCTTCTTTTTATAGTCTAAAAGATTCATAGCCACACACCAGAAATACAGAAAGAACTTGAAGGCAGCCTACTCTCTTCCTTATTTCAATATAACAGAGATTTATTGAACATTCAAGTTTATCCATATGTAGTGGTGGTGAGGGTCTTCTGTAAGGAATCTCTGAAAATACTCCTCCTTGAAAGCGAAAGGCCACCAGGCAAGGATATGGGAAACCTAATTCTGTCTTAATTATGCCCTGTTAGATATATAACTTTGGCCTAATTAGTAAGTATTTCTGAAACTCATCTTCTTTCTATCACAGGGTGAATGGACTATGTAGATAACCTTTAAAATTTCTGCCAGGTCTATAATTATATTTTATGTTTCAGTTGATTTTGACAACCTTAGGGAATTCCAATAATCCTGGGCACTTGAAAGGCAATCTGATTTATTCTTCATGTACTTAAATTATTTTACTTTAGAAAATAAAATTTGACGAAGTAAAATTTCCCAACTGTTTCATCAAAGTAAAGATCTAAATGTTTTATTTGACCAAAGGCAGATTAAAAAATTGATATGGTTCCCACTTCTTGATGTAGTAGGATTAACAGAAATGAAGTGCTCTTCATTATAATCTGCCCATTTTATACTCTCCTAGGTTTTCATGGAGTGAATGTCCCACAGGTGCATCTGGTTGATGACAGAGAGATACATAACCACTATCTCCATTCCTACAACCAAACAGTAGGCATCCCTGCATGAAGGGTTCTCCAAATTTTTGTGAGCATAAGTACATTTTCATTTGCCGAAGTGAAGCCAGTGAAGGCTCTGTGTTAAGTGGAAATCCTGGGCAACGAAGACTGTGAATAAGAATGGGGAGATGATGATGCAGCTCTAGTCCTCCATACAAATCCCAGCAGTGCTCAGCAACCCTGGCTGGATTGGAGATGTACTGGAAGATCCTTATCCATTAGGTTGGCTCTCCTACTACAAAATAAACATATTCTGTGGCTATCTGCTTTGGAGTCTCAGATTCTGGATTAGTTCACAAAGAAGTAAATTTCAGTGTATACTTGAAAATTCTATTAGCATTATTTCAAATGTTTTTTGCTAATTTTTATCATTTTTCATAAGTGCCTAAGTCATTTGTTAATTTTATATTGGGTTGGCTTACTAATTTGTATTCATTCTTTAATGTGTATATGTCTTTTATTGGACATATGTATTGCAATCTCTACTCCTAATGTGTGGTTGTCTTTTCACTCTCTTAATGGAGTTGTTGAATGAGCATTTTCAATTTAATTAAGTCCAATTTATTAATCTTTTCATGGGTTGTGTTTTTTATTTTCTATTCAGGAAATCTTTGTTTATCCTAAGGTTACAAAATATTCACCTAGGCTTTCTTCTAAAAGTTTGATTGTTTTAGCTTTCACATTTAGATTTATAATCTTAGTTTTTTATACGGCATGAGGTAGGGTTCAAAGAGCCTTTTGTTCCACATGAATATATAACACACTCAGCACAATTCATTTAAAATTCCATTCTTTCTTGTCTGTATTGGAGTGAAGACAGTTCAAATTAAGTGACCCTGTATGTTCTGCTCTCATTCTGGATTCTTTGCCATGTTGTTGTTCCCTCTGTCTACCCTTGCACCAATATCACACTGTCTTCATTACTGTGACTTTAGTTTAAGTGTTCATATCTGGTGGTATAAGTTCTTCTTCCTTCTCCTTCTTCTTCAGCATTATCCAGGGTATCCTAAGCCCTTTGCATTTTTACATAAATTTAACATTAGATTATCAATTTATACACATATTTATATACACGTGATGTGCTTGGGTTTTCATTGGGATTTTATTATGTCAACATTTCAATTTTGAAAGAATTACCATAATTAATTGGTAGAGAAATGAAATCTATACAGTATGTACATGCCCACCAAAAATGACTGGAATTTATAAAAGAATGTAACAGTTATCATCAAATGTTATCAAGAATGTGAAGCAACTGGAATTCTCTTACATGGCTATGAAACAAATTGATCTAATCGCTTTGAAAAAATATTTGACGAGGCTTGTTAAGACCAACATATGCTTATACTTCACCTAGTGGTTTCACTCCAATCTACCATGTTATTCCATGTCCAGCAACACTGGAGAAGGAAAGACATTCTATGCATAAGATATATTCTTATGCTTAAGATACTCTCTTATGCATAGAATAAAGCACAAGTTCTAGAGTCAGACTGCTTCCGTTCATATGCTCACATTCCAGCTCTACCTTATTGTCCATGTGATGCTAGGCAAACTATTTAACCTCCCTATGTCTCATGTGGACGAAATGATTAGTGTGTGTTATCTCCATATTGTTTATTATTTTCATCTGCAAACTCGGACAACAGGGTGGATGATATTTACCTATCTCATAAGGTTTCTGTGCTAGGAGGACTAAGATAACCCACGTAAGAACAGTGACTGGCAATCAGTAAGGACTCAAGAAATGTCAGTTATTATTATTTTCTACCCATTGCCACCCTACTTATCTTTCAAAGTCTACTTAATTCAAATTGCACCTATTCTATGTCATTTTATTCCCAAATAAAGGGGATGAAAATCTTAATTCTGACAAACATCTAGTTTCTTTCCCTCTCTCCCTACCACCAACTTTATGCTAATCTTCTATTTTCATCCTTATTATATTTGACTTTGATTTTGGGTTATTCTGTTGGTCTTTGCCTGGACCTCTGGACTGCAGGCATCCCACAATTAGGTATCTCTGCTCCTCTGCCTGTTCCTGTAGATCTTTGCCCGGTGCTCTGCACTTAAGTGCTCAATAGATGTTGGTTGCATTGTATTGAATTGAATCAGGGAGGGAGACTGCTAGATGCCTGTGAGACATGTTACTTGATGTGTTTGCTTTCCAAGAAGCTTGTCATCTGAATTACTCTTAAGTGCTTAAACTCAATAGACAGTTTCTTAGTGATCCAATAGAAAGACAATGAGCAACTGCGCTAAGATTCAGGAAAGTGGCTTCAATACTGTCATGAAAATACTTGGGCTGACTGGAACAAGTGATTAGCAGTAAAACCTGCCTTTATTATGACAATTTGAAGCAGATGGAGAGTTTCCAAATATGATTTTAAAAGCTGTAGCTGCCTTACGGGATATTAAGATCCTTACATTTTTAACACAGGCGAATTGGATTTTTATATGTTGGGCTCAGTTTTGAGTTTGTGGCTAGAAACCCTCAGGTTTTTAATCTTTGAGATTTGATTTACTCAGGTTGAAACTAAAGACCAACTTATGTCAAAGATTTTATTTATTTTGCAGTGGGCTTGTATCTCTCAGGCCATCCACTTTGCAGGCCCCCAGGCAATAGTACAAATGGGGGCCTCATACCATATGTGTTTCTATATTTATCAGGTATACATTAAGGTAACAAACTGCTAAATATTTTCTATGTTCTTCCCTTCATAAAGACCTAGTAGCCAGGTTCCTTGTTGTTCCGCCAGCTTGTAATGGCATGGGGCTTCTCTTCTCTTTCCAGCCCTGATCTTGAGGGACCTCGTGAGCATGTGTGGACAGCCCAGACCATACATCAAAGTTCTATCCACACCTGCTACTAACAGCACCCTTTGAGCTTAGAGAAGTGCACAGAGACAGTATGGCCCACCCTCGAGAAGATGGACCCAGGGAGGAGGTTTCCTGGGCCCTGACATTGGGAAGTCTGGGGTCTGGAGGGTAAGAAGTCTGTGGGTTCCGCATGGGCTCCTCTCTTGTCTCATAGAAATGGGTGTAGCTTGAAGAAGACCAGAACAAGGTTCTCTAAAGCGCAGGGTCCCTCTTGCCTGAGTCTAAGAGTAGTATTGATACTACTTTTCTTGTAAGACATATAACAACGGAATACTTTTATCTCGAGGTATTGTATTTAAAAGCACTGATTTATAAGACCCATTGGCATTCCTATTTAATGATATTATTAAACAAAATTTTGGTATTACTCTCTTCTCAACAATGAAAAAGCTTGGAGTATTGACTATAATACTGATATATAAATAGTTACCGGAAAGCAAGCAATTTTACTTTTTTACCCACCATAATTCTGAAAGCCATGTTCTTGTTGCCATTTTTATCTCATTCAGACTAATTCAAAAGAAAAAACACCTGTGGATTTTCATTAAAGTCATGCCATAATGGGCCACTATGGTCAACTGGAGGATGAGTGGTCACTGATGAAGCTTCACCCGAAACTCCCTTCCCTAACAATTGAGTTGAATGTCTACCCCTCACTTCAGATTCTGCTCCTCAATAGTTCTAACTTTACCTTAGAAACACAGCTGTCAGAACATCAGATTTATTTACTTACTTGAGAAAAATAAAAGCTATAGCACCCTATATACCTCCTGTCCACACAACATGTCTAAATAACTCAAAAATAAACATTAAGGGCAAGTATATTTGATTTCCAGTTTAGGTGTCATTTTATCATTGTGTGAGATGGACTTGGGTCACACTTCAAAGCTCCTAAGTTTGTAAAGATTAAATGAAACCATTTATGTAAAAAAACTTGGCACAGTACCAAGACAATCAATAAATTCATTATCTTTGCCTTTCCCCTCTATTCCTCTCCACTGCATTCAACTCCAAATTTCTAAGTCAACACAAAAAATAGATTAATAGTCATAAATTAGACTATAAGTGGCTTTCATTCACTCAGTGATTATAAAATTCTGTATTTACGATATATAAACCCAAACTTCAGATTCACATGCACAAAAATCTCCTTAGAGTGAAAAGTATTTTGGGAGCTTATCAAGGGATGTACTGGGTAATGCTGAAGAACAAAGAACACTCTTGATATTAAATTGAGCTCCAAGATTTCATATTCTAAGTTTATAGCTGCATTCTGGTTAACCTCATTCTTTTTTGGAGTACAGCTACTCTTTTTAGAAATTACTTTTTCACTAATCACTGCCAATCATATTGAAATTATTGTGAAATAAAGAACCTTTTCTTTCAAAAAGCCACAATTCACATCATAACATAGGGGCCTACAAAGAGCTTATGAAAGCTCCCGAGGCAGCTGCTTCTCTTGGAGAACTGCCGGAAAGCAGCCTGCAAACACAGACAGATTCCTGCCCATGCCGGGCAGGCGGAGGTGGAGGCTGCTGGTCCTGACCGGGCTGGGCCACAATAAGAAGCTGGCTGTGAAGTTGCAAGAATTCAATTTCCTTGTCCCTACATGTAACTCTGGTAAGGACTGGATAAATAAATGGGCTTCCCCCACTTTGTACTATTACAATATGGTATGTATGCGTGTGTGTTTATCAGTTCAGCAAAATGTAAAATTTCATTTGAAAAATGGAGAATACATAAACACATACATATATATTAAATATCATTATAGACTGGATGTGGTGGCTCATGCCTGTAATTGCTTTGGGAGGAATTTGCGAGCCCTTTGGGAGGCCAAGGCAGGCGGATCACGAGGTCAAGAGATTGAGACCATCCTGGCCAACATGGTGAAGCCCTGTCCCTACTAAAAATACCAAAATTAGCCAGGCATGGTGGCACGCGCCTGTAGCTACTCAGGAAGCTGAGGCAGGAGAATCACTTGAACCTGGGAGGCGGAGCTTACAGTGAGCTGAGATTGTGCTATTGCACTCCAGCCTGGTGACAGAGTAAGACTCCGTCTCAAAAAGAAAAAAAAGAAAGAAAGAAAGAAAAAAAAATTCATACCCTAGTGAATCTTGTGCTCCCTATTCCCACCTCCAATTGCCAATATGCTGCCCAGAGAGAGCAGGT